CATTGAGTCAGCAGCATTTCCTATAGAATCATAGCTTAAGTACTCTCTCTTAGCAGAAGGCGTTAAGGCTAGCACATGGTCATTAACTTCCTGAGCTAAATCATTTGTTGTTGTTGTTAAGATAGCCCTTTGGCATAAGTACTTTCGATTAGAACAATTTTTAGCAAAGTTTGTATATACATCATTAACAATAGCGCCTATTCTATTTTCCTCAGAATGGATCAACATATCATCAGGAATTGTTACCCAACTTGGCTCACACTCCCCTTGCCTAGTAACACAAGGCGTTGTACCATCACCAATACTCAAGATCCAACCAGCAAAAGAAGCTATCTCAGCCTGTAAAACAGGATATGTTGTTTGCACAGCCAAATGCATGTTCACTTTAAGATGTAGAACCTCTATAAAACGCCATAGTGGTGAATTTGTTATAGCAGCATTTATAACCTGTGAGCGAGTCCCACCCTCAATGACTGGTAAAATCTGTCTCAAATCGCCACCCAAAATCATAACCTTACCACCAAAAGGCATGTCAGCTATAGAAGGATCGTCGGCAGACAGGATATCACGCAAGCTACGATCCAAAGCCTCAAAACATCTACGATGCATCATTAAAGCCTCATCCCATATTATTAGGGAGGCTGATTCGATCATCTCTGCTAATTTGCTAGATCTTTTTATATCACATGTTCCATTGTCATCTAGACTGATTGGTATTTTAAACCTAGAAGTCCTACCGCCAGGTAAAAGAAGTGTTGCAACCCCAGAAGATGCAACTGTGAGAACAATCCTTTCTTTACCTCTAAGATAAGCAATTATGGAACTCCAGAGAAAAGTTTTCCCAGTTCCACCATATCCAGAAACAAAGAAGAAGCCAGGTTTTCCAGACACAACTCGGTCGATAATATTCTTATAAGCTAGGAGTTGATCTAGATTTAATTGGTTGTACATGGTTTCTGCCTTTAGCAGTTCACTTTTAGGATCAACAGATAGTTCATCAGTTATCATCTCATTGTCATCAGAGTTATCATCATATGTAGTCTTTAATGGAAGTTTGTGGTCTAGAATATTAGAACCATTTTTACTAAATAGAACTGTCAACTTATCAAGCAAGATGTCTCTCAGCTCATCAGGAGGTACAACATGATTATCATCACGAAAAGAGCGCTTGATATTGTACTTAATATCCTCAGCTAAGTGTGACCAATATTTTTCGAAGAAAACATTTTCATCGTTAACACCACAATGAACAAGGATTGTAACAAAAAGCCTGCGCAGCTGAGCTCCCATACCCCTGGTCAAAGCCTCATCAAACGCACTATACCATTCAAGATCATCTCCAAGTAAGCCCCTAGCAGCACATGCCTCCTTAAAGGTTTCATACACAATCTCAATATAAGTTCTAACATCTGTATAAGACATGGCACCTTTGACAACCATCAAGAGCATTCTAAGATAGAAAAGTTCTCCAGTTGTACGGTGAACAGAATAAATTCTACCAATCCTATAACTCGAGGTCTTAGGAATCCATTGTTTTTTGCTTGGTAGCCAAGTCCATTTGGTTGGGAAGTCACAATAAGTAAGAGACCTAGCATTTGCATGGCATCTATTAGCTACAAACCACTCGGTTAACATTGTTCTCTGTAGCCACTCATCGTCAGCAACTGACTTCAGGTTTGCTTTAACATTGAAACGCACCATGTGTTTATTTAATAAATGAACAGGCAATCTTTCAACAGAAGGCATCTTACTGTGTATATCAAAACCATATATCCTCCAGCAACCATCTTTATCACATATGTAACGGCATTGTCTATATTCCATGATCTCATTAATCTCAATACCATGCTTGTTTTTGATGCTTTCAAACAAAGTTTTTTGAAAAATCAGGACCCTTTGTAACATACTTATAAAGATACTTGATGACATGGGTTTTGTTGCACCACTCAACGTTAATATGCGCTTGTTATTTTTTTAGCATAAGCAGATTATAAGGAACAACATGCCTATTATCAAGCCTGACCTTTTTTTAATTATAAAACGGCCGTTGTCTGGGCGACTATACACAGGGAATCCACTATCATCTAGAGAGGTCTCGAGCTGAAATGACTTAGGAAATTTTTTTGAACACAATCCATCTTTCATGCAAGGACATTTAACACATCTTCCCCGCAAGGGCCGTGCATCATGTGTTCAGAAACAAGAACGTATCCAAGAGGATCCGCAACAGAATTAGGGATGGAGGCCGATATAAAAGAGTCAATTAAAGCCGGGCTAACCTCCCGTTTTTTTCCTATCAAGCCAGATCAGGATATGGGCATGAGGAAGCCCTCTTTTCTGGAACTCCACAGTGTGCAGTACTGTGAACAAAGGGATAAAAAATATCACGAGCTGAGGTGGAAAATAACAGGCAAAAAGAGATGAGAGGAATCCCAAAGCACGTTTTACCCGCTACGATAGGACCAAAGGCCTCCCCACTCTTAATATCATGAATATAGTCATTGAGCTTCATGTGATAAACCCTGACTAGAAGATCCGCCCTGTCTGAAGGCATCTGGCCAGGCTCAGAACACAGGGCTTCTGTTATCTCAGGCCACTTGGGATTACAGGTAAAGGTGGTGAAAAGGTCTGGTGGGCCAAACACACGTGAAATAGCCACCTCTTCCTGGAAGTTCTCAATCATATAACGCCGGCCACCGGTAAAAGAGGATGGAAGTATGTTTTTTTTGCCAACAGAACTTGCATCTGTTTGCCCTTTTCCAACAGCATCAGTGGCTCCTTGCAAGTTCTCTGCTCTAAGATCATTATTAGCCTTCATGATGAAATGCAGCCTCCACTCGTCTATGCAAGCGCGTGCATCTACAATGGCCTATGAGGAAAGCAAACCACAACAAAGGTATGGATTATGCTGCTCTGGTCTATAGTGGAGACAACAGGAATAGTAGTCCTGCATAGTGAGCCTGGTTCTTTTGCTAGTATCTAAAGGGTGTGAACCAATATATTTAAGCCCGAGCTGAAACCCACGTTCTGCATAGGGGAAGAGAAGAGGGTACTGCAAAGGCATATATGTAGTTTGCAAAGAAGATATTTGCTACAAATTTTCATCTCTACCGTGTATTATTATGGCCCAGTTCTTTTGAGGTGTGGCTTCTGCATAAGCTACAGTGGGAGTAAGTCATTGATAAGCTGCAATGGAAATAAGCCCCCTAGCATAAGCCATCCAGTTCTTTTGTCCAAGCTTATGTTCTGGGTCTTTGATGAAAAGTCTACAATACCCCTAAAATGTAATTGTATGATTTAACTGCAGTTTCTGTGAATTGTAGCAGCAACTTGGACAACTTCATTCGTACTCTCTTGCACTTGCAAAAGGTATAGCAGGACCAAACCAAACAACAATCAAAATGTTAGTGTTTGCATACAAATTTCTGAACATTCACTAGCAACATTTATCCTTTTTTTACAACAGATAGAAACTTGGACATGGCCAAAAACTAAGGTGCACATGAGCACTGCACTTCCTGAAGATATGTTAGCAAAATTCATATGCATCTCTGAAATAGAATTTGAAATAGGCAAAGAGAATACTACTCCTAATCGCCATGAGATTGTCAAGCATTTGCTACTCGATGGACAATCAGAGAACTAGCAGTGGGTGGCCATGGCGTCCAGAGAAGTGCAGGTGCCGGGCGTCAGGGCAGTGCGTTGACGACGACGGCGACGAACCAGGGGCGTCTCAGCCATGGAAGGAGAGTGGGGCGGAGTGGGGCATCGGGGAGGAGCAGCCGCCGTCGATATCAGCGGAGAAGGGGGTCGGCGTCCATCCAGTCGAGCTCGGAAGCCGACGTCCACGGCGCCGGAAGCGGGCAGCCGTCCTGCTTGACAAAGGGGTCTGTGGCGGTGGCTTGAGGCGGGTCTGGCAGCGGCGGCTTGAGGCACGGCCAGCGGGCGGCGGCTTGAGGCGCGGCCAGCGGACGGTGGCTTGAGGCGGGGCCGCCGGCGGCTGGAGGCGGTGGCAGCGGGGAAACCCTAATCGCGGGAGGAGAGGGACGACAGGGGCGCGGGGCGTTGCGAGCAATTTTTCTTCGGGGCTGGTACACTGGAGGGGCGCGGTGGCATTTCCTGCGTAATTGTGTTCAAGTGCGAGGGCAAAGGAATATACCGTTTCGTTTTTTAAGTGATTGCCGCGAGAAGCTGCGGGAAGCTGCCATACCCCCAGCTTTTTTCCATTGTGAAGGGAAGGGCTGGGGAAATAAGTTAAGCTCCATCCCTAAAATGAGTTTTTTTGGACTTTTGGCTTATTTTCACAATAAGCTGAAATAAGCTGCAAAAGAACTGGCCCTTAGCAGCCACAACTACGCACGAATCTGTGTGACCATTCGTTGTCCCGTCCCTTTCGTCTTCCTCCCCCCTTGCAACCTGCACCCCACCAGCAAACCATCTGGGCTCCTTTCCTTTTCCAAATCTCCGTATTAAACTAACAATCTGAATCGCGCAGCCCCAAGAGCAAGCAACCTCTGCTCTGCTCCAGTTGCCTCCCTCCCTGCCAGTGGCTTAGCATCAGATTCTCTCTCTCTCAGGGCACAGCCAAAACAGCAGTGACAGCACAGGGCGGCTGCGGCTGCGGCTGCGAAGCCAGTTCCACTTTTTTCTCGATTTATTGCTAGTTTTCTCGCTTCCCCTTTGGCGCTGATTCTTGTTTACTTAGTTAACCGCCCGTACCCACCGCCAATCCCCAGGCCGCCGCCTGCTCTTGCCGAACCCCAACCACCCATAGCAGTCAGCACAGCCCGCTTTCTTCTGCATATCTTGCCGGTTCTTCGGCCTTGGGATTGATTGCTAAGTGCTAACGGTTCTTGGAAATTCTTCCTGGAAGCAAGCTCAGTTTAGTTTTCTCATTCTTCTGTTGCCGTCTTGCCAAGTTCGTGCGGTTGGATAGCGTTGATTGCTCTTGAAGGGAATACAAGGGGAATTAGCAGAGTCTCGAGTTGACCGAGCTTGTCATGGAGCCATCGGCTGGGTTCCGGGCCTCTGTCTGGAGCTGCTTCAAGTTCTTGCCCTTCTTCTGTGGCCTTCTTCTCCTGGGGATCATCAAAGGTGACCACAACGCCTGCTCCTGTCTATTACTTCACTTCGCTTCTCTTTGCTGGCCTAAGAAAGTACTATGGATTGGAATTGCATCACATGTTATTTTCTCATATGACCATAGGATGGCAATTTTACACATCAGTACCTGCTTGTCTATGTTTGATACATTTATTTGTTTTAGAATGCAGAATGATAAATTAAAGAGTTATTTGTCTCAAGTATTTGGGCTTCATTCCATCTTGTGGTTGCTTTGCTTGTGTTGTGTTGATCACCCTGTTATCTTGTATGAAGAGGCTTTGTTCTTTTACTTTCTTGGAGCATTCCACAAATTCTCATTATGGAATCTAGAAGTGAATACTTGTTGTACATATTCCATATATAGTAACGACCCTATGTGGTACTTTTGGCTTCAATAGTGATGGAACCAATAGAGTTCATATTAGCTGGCTGTAGGCATGTTTCCTGAAATGAAACATCAGCTGGCCAGATTCACAGGTCTTCTGTAGTACTCCCTCCGCCCCGAATTACTTGTCTTAGATTTGTTTACAATGAATGTATCTAGACAAGTAATTCGGAACGGAGGTAATATACGATAATGAGTTTTCTTTCTTGTTTCTGAAAATGATCATGTGCACTTTGGACTTTAAGCCATTTTCCCTGCTTCAACTTTTGTATGTGCAATATAACGGGTTGCTACTGGTCATTGCAACTGACAATTCAAGTCATATCAAAGGAAAGATATGTAACTGTGGTATTGGAAGTAAATGAACGCAAGGGTGATCGAAATTTGTTACTTCCAGAAATCAAAGTTGCCATTTTGCTACACATGTGTTGTTTCATAATCTGATTTGCTAATCCTGTGTTCTTGTTGCTTTTGCCTATCCAGGTGTTCTGTTTGGCCCATGGGCCTGGCTTATTATAGCGATCGGTATTTCTGCACTCGTCCTGGGGTTATGGCCTATGCATGTGATTTGGACGTACTACTGCATCATAAGGTAGCGTTCACAGTTTTGTACAAATCTATCTGAAAAGAAAATATCATGCAATGGATCTATGTAGATAGATGTGCTGAGTTGCTGACCACTGATCCCCTTTTTCATGAAGGCAGAACCAAGCTGGTGGGACCTGTTGTGAAGCTGCTGCTTCTTATTTCTGTATCTGGGATTTTAGTCTTGTGGCTGATAGTTGGCATCGTTGGAAGCGTACTTGCTGGGTTAGCATACGGCTTTCTAGCACCAGTAATGGCCACATTTGATGCACTCGGTGAAGGAAAAAAAAGGCCACTCGTTCATTGCTTTGTGGTATGTTCATGATTTTACTTTTTATGGTGCTACTTTGAAATTATGCTGTTTAAGCACCTCTCAAATTTTCAATTGTCAAAATCCATGTTGGGGCCAACAATAAATCCAATAATATGTGGATTATGTTACAGAAAATTAGTACTGTTGGATTATTGTTCAAAATCAATTTATTATGTTTGTAATTTTGTATCTATTAACAAAATACTGTACAAGAAATTCACGCTCAAATTAAAAAATTGGCCGGTCAAATATTCCCTACATAAAAAACAAGGGAGTGCTTGTTTTACATGAGTAGCTAAATTGAAATGCAGGATGGAACATGGAGCACTATCACAGGAGGCTGTACAGTAGTCAGGGACCTGAAAGACATGCTATTCCATTCATATCTTGCATATATGGATGATCTACGGTTCCACGAACCTCCTGGTGGAAAACCATTTGAAATAAGGTTTGCTTGCTTCTTTTATTTTTAGCTATTTCTCTTCTATCCAAGAAGGCTGCAAATTTCTCTGTGCTAGCTTTTCCATCTGATATTTGGACAAACTCCATGAGTTCCTAGGACTAACTTGAGTAGTGCAATTGTATTATTAAATATGCAATTGTATTATTAAATATGTAATTGTAAGCGTGGAATCATGGAACCTTCATATAGGGATGCTAATTGCTAATATCATTATATGTGTCACTGTAATTATTATTATGTTCTTTTGTTATATGGTGCATTTGTTTTTGCTATGGACAAACATTTCAGGATTGCGGTGAAGTAAAGAATAATTTCTATGTGAAGTTTGCCATGTCAAATGAAATTCCACCATGCTATATTTGAATACCCTATGTATCTTTTTTTCTCGAAGAATTTTGTTGAACAAATTCAAACAGTTAACTCTGCATTTTCCCAGAGTGCTTGATATTCCTGGCGCAGTACTCGCTGCCGCATGTGGACTCTTAATGGATGGGATAATGTTCACAGCAATTGCCTTGTACAAGTTCCCTGTGATGCTTTTTAAAGGATGGAAGCGACTGATTGAAGATCTGGTTGGCAGAGAAGGACCTTTCCTTGAGACAGCGTGTGTGCCATTCGCTGGTCTGGCTATTCTTCTCTGGCCATTTGCTGTTTTAGGAGCCTTCCTAGCCTCCATGATCTCCAGTGTTCCTCTAGGCGCATATGCTGCCATTGTGGTTTATCAGGTATAAACAGGAAACAAAAATATTTTTACTTCCAACGTCAAGCATTAGCTGCACTGACGTATCAAAGGTGAAGCCACGGAGCTTACTCCTACAATCTTGCTGATGTGCCAGGAATCCTCTCTTTTCATGGGACTATCTTATGCAATATCATCAGTATCCATCTTTGATGAGTATACAAATGATGTACTTGACATGGCACCAGGATCTTGCTTTCCTAGGTACAAATGATGTATTTCATATTGCATTATTCTCCTTGCGTTGTCCCTTCTGAATAAACCGAGTTAACACGAAAATCATGCCTAGGTTTGTATACCAGAAGAATGAAGCTTCCGTGGAAAGTACCCGTGGCCCGCTGTCAAGGCCCGCCTCATTCAGGGATAAGCAAGATGGAAAGAAAGCTCCAGCACGGGTTACATCATTTAAGAGTAGCTTTGATGAGTTCAATCCATTTAAGGTGAATTTTTCCTGGCTTCGAGAGATTTTTTTACTCTGTGTTCACTGCACAATTTTATTTTGTTGCTGCCGTTTGGTTGATATATACTCTGTATCTAGACGTATTTTAGTTCTAGATACATCCATTTCCGAGACAAGTAATTCCGAACGGAGGGAGTACCTTCCATGTATTCTTATATGCTGGGAATGGCGCCTGTTTTAGACTTTGAAAGGTTACATTGTGCTAATTAATCTTGCCATTTCGAATTTACTTTGCAAGGCAGGCTACAATTCAATTGGCTTAAATTTGTGCAGTTTAATAATTTATAATGTTGTATAGTTGCTAGATCACCTATTCGAAGAGTGTCACCACCGTGGCGAGGCTCTGGTCGCTGAAGGAGTGATAACACCGAAAGATATCGAAGAAACAAAGTCAGGCAAAGGCGGCAGCGGAGTGCTTAATGTGGGTTTGCCAGCATATGTTATTCTCAATGCACTCCTACGATCTGCAAAGGCTGATTCCGATGGCCTGATTCTCAGTGAGTAAAAATAGGTCTTCTTCTCCATTCAAGAGGTGTCGTTATGGCTTAGCTTGACTTGCCCTGTGCAATTTGCAGGAGATGGCTGTGAAATAACATCTGACAACAGGCCTAAGAATACACTATTTGATTGGTTCTTTGACCCTCTGATGGTCATCAAAGATCAAATCAAAGCCGAGAATTTTACAGAAGAGGAGGAGGCGTACCTTCAGAAACGCGTACTGTTGATCAGCGACCCGAAGCGCCTCAAGGCGACTCTTCCGCATTTGTCATCCCTGAATGAGCGAAAACAAGCAGAAATAGATGCATTTGCTCGGAGGTACTTCTGCCCACCACTCTCCCCATTTGCAAAAGGGAAATGCACCAATTTTTGTTTTGTAATTATTTCGATCTTGTGCTAGATTGCAAGGGATCACAAAGTCGATATCAAGATACCCGACATTCAAGCGCCGTTTCGACGACCTAGTGAAAGCACTTTCTGAGGAGCTGGAGAGGGCAATGGGCGGCAGCCGATCTGTCAGTGGATCACAGTTTCAGAAGCTCAGAAGCGGTCTTGTTCGAATGCTTAGCCAGAGATCGATGGGGAAGACGGCAAGCATCCGAGGAGGTGATCAAGAGGCGCAGCTCACAAACGACGCTGGTGTTGCGTAATATTTCAAAAAAGCGGTGAAGAGAAGATCGCCATTGTCCATATGTGTTTCCTGAGTTGATTTTCACTAACTTTGTGCAGAGAGCTGACTCTAGTGTATGGGTTATATATTGCAAACTTGCAAAGCTCCATGTTTTAGAAAGCAAAGTTCGCCTCGTTTTTTTATCTCAAAAATGTCGATTTATGTGGATTTTATTAGCTTTTATCCACCAAAATGGTGTTACACTGAAAATAGGATGAGTCCAAATTTGAGGATCATTCATTCGAGTTTGTGTTATTTTGGTGCCTTCACATGAATGTTGCACTAAATAAATTACAAACACGAATATCCAGTAGTTGTTTTTTTTTCTTCATGATTGTTGCACTAATGAGTCTTGACTAAATATGAACAGAGAATTGAAGATATGAAGTCCAGCTGGCTCAAAGCCTAGGTTGCATAGCAATGTTCTACAAATTATATTTGCAGCTAAAGGAAGGAACACCATTCTAGAAGAACATTATAATTGCAAAAAACAAGCAGCTAGACAAAGATGCAAAATAATCATAGGAAGCCAGCAAAAAATTTAGTTAGTTTCATTTTCACCTTTAGTGCAGCTGGCGTTACATTCATTTGGAGATAAAGTATTACAGGCTTGTGCTTTCGTAACCGTGGAACGAACAACAACAGTCTCAACCTAGTGTGATGGGAAGGTAATGATACTGAAATGCCGACAACAGAGCTACAAGTACTAGTCCATTACACATAATGAAGAAACATGGCAGATCTCAACAATGAACTAGCAGCGGAATCATCACTGCGCTTTCTTCTTGGCATCCTTAGCCTGCCCCTTCTTGCGGATCTTGATGCACATGCTGAGGCGTGTACTATCCACAAGTGACTCTGGGAGAAGGGAGATCAAGAACCACAGAACAGAGTGTGGCCAGTACGGTGTGCACCTCGGCTCATAGCCAATGTGGCGAATAGCAGCACGAGCATAGGTGTCCGCGGATGGCACAAGGAAGGAAGACCTCCTGATTGATGCCATCTTTGTCGCCACGTACAAGGGCACCTGAACAGATCGCAGGAGTTAAGTTAGAGCTCAGCAACTCGTATAAAAAAACAACATCCTAAAACAACAGAGAGGGCGAAACAATTCAAATGAGTAGTTCTCGGTAGACTTTCAAGGATCCTCCAAGGGACTACAAATATGAATCACGTGCTAACATCATCATGATACTGGTATTTAACTCATTTCTCATTGCATAAATAATCTATCAACATATCTCCTTGAGCAAGGACGGAGCACTTAGGGACTGAATTCTCAGATGATCAATAAGCAGCAGCAAAAGGTAGGTATAGCATGATAAGATAGAAATACATGCTTCATTAGTTCAGTTGAAGATGAGACATGGTAATTTTTCTCGCAAAGCCTTGTTTGTTATCTAGTCTGATCTATAAGTAACGCAGAAGTCAGAACATATCCTTATTAGAACAAATTCAGAACCTGCTTGTCGCATTCGATTGATTGTATCACAAAATATATACTATTTACATTCACCAAAGGTGATGTGTTTTGTTGTTTCAGTTGAAATTTCAGTTGTCCAGACATATAAATTAGCTAAATTAGACAACCCAGCTACTTTCATTTTATAACAAACAGTTATTAACCACAAAAGGACAGCAACTGAGTTAAAGAAAGCAGATAACAGAAAGATAAAAGAACGAGAGACTAGTTGTTACCTGGCATTGCACATCAATGCCCTTGCCCTTGTACTCAACATAGAGGCATCTTGAGAACTGGTCAACGTACCTGAAAACAAAAACAAATTAGTATTCTCTCTGCTGTCAATGTAGTCATAATTTGTGAATGACAATTCACTAAAATATTTTAGTAACCGATCTGGACAGGGTCTGAACTGAAGACATACATCAAGCAAACTATCCTAACAGTTTGTTACACATCTAAATCCAAGACTAGCACCAGAATCTGGCATGAGTATGACACGCGAGCTAACAAGTCACACCGAAAGTGCTTGTTCGATTCCCTATCCCAATTCTTCCTAGCATAGCTCCTTCCGGATCCTAACAAACATCTAAAATTTCTAAATCAAGTACAGGTAGGCAAGAAAGTAGTGCCCTCTGTTCGCAGGGGTTGCTTCCGCTACCACCATCTGTGAGCACGAACATTTAACATGGTATGCCATAGTATGTAGTACGCGCAGAGCAAATTAAGTACAGTAGTAATTTCGATCGAGAAGAAGAAGAAGAAGAAGGTTAGTACTCACGCTTTCGTGGCGGCGTAGACGGAGTAGAGTGGATCGGACGGCACAACAGAGGCAGCACCGGAGCCGATGTTGACGATTGCGCCACGCTTCCTGTCGACCATGCCCGGGAGCACGGCGTGGGTGACCCGCGTTACCCCCTCGACGTTGACCCGGATGAGGCTCCGCATGAGCTCCTCGTCCACCTCATGGAAGTAGCGGGCGTACGGGTACGAGACCCCGGCGTTGTTGACGAGCACGCCGACGTCGAGGCCCCGGATGGAGTCCTTGAGCGCCTCCACCCCAGCGGCGAGCCCCTCGGAAGCGAAGTCGAGCACGAAGGTGCGGACCTCGGTCTTGGGGTACTTGCCCCTGATCTCCTCGGAGACGGCGGCGAGCTTGTCCGGGTTGCGGCCGACGAGCACGAGGCCGAGGCCGGAGGCGGCAAGGCGGAAGGCGATGGCGCGGCCGATGCCGTCGGTGGCGCCGGTGACGACGGCCCAGGGCCCGTAGCGGCGGCGCAGGGGCTTGCCGGGGCGGAGGAAGGCGGCGTAGACCCAGAGGGCGAGGCGCAGGGCGGCGCGGGCGGCGACGAGGAGGCCGACGGCCGCGAGGGCCAGCGCCCACGCCGGCTGCGCGCGGAGGAATTCGACGTGGGCGCACGTGCCGGCCATGGTGCTTGCTGGGTTGGCTTGAGCGTTCGCTCGATCCGCGGTGGGGAGCGGCGAGTTATAGCGGAGCGGCGCGGGTCGGATCGGGTGGGCTGGATCTTTGATGGGGTTGGTGGAGCCGGTGCACCAGTCCAACGCTCGACTCAGCCATAAAAAAGACGGTTGCGCGTCGTGTCAGTCTCAGACCCCGCTGCTTCTTCTTCTTCTTTTTCTCTTTTTTTTTTGAGTTGTTTTCTCTTTTTTTAGTTGGACTCGAACCCCAGTTCTAAGGGCATGTACAATGATGGCATATGGATACAGATGTCTCATAGCAAAAAGTAATTTGAGGCATATGTGTTGATTTTTTCTTTCAAATGCAAGCTACTACTAGTGGGGTTCATCAAAGAATAGAAAGTGACTCTCACTACGACAAATTTGACAATTTTGACCTCGGGACGAAATCAATTCACAGAATGAACTGCTCGTGAAACTATTTCACGTCAATGACATTTTTGTGTAGCGCTCGCCACGCAGGCGCCACACCCAACGGTGCAGCGCCTACCTCTAGGGCGTTACACGCTAGTCCACCGTGGCAACTCCTGGGCCCGCACCCAGCAGTGCAGCACCTAGGAGCTAGGCGCCACACGTTTAGGGGTTGTTTGGATAAGGAGGATTAGCGATTGGTATATAGAAAACAAGTTTTTGGATTTTAGCCGAATCAGTTTTAGTTGCGATTTTAGAAATAACCAGTATATAGAAAGTCACGTTTGGGTTGAGAGACTGTAAAATCTGGTATGTACACTTCCTTGTTTGGATAAGCCCGTTCCTATTCTCTCGATGAGTGGATCTCCCGCAGCAAAACACAAAACGCCAACAAAGTTGTTGAGAAACAAGCGGGTGAAGAAAAAAATTGTTGCGCTCACGCATGTAGCAATCGCGTTTGTGAAAAAATGGATAATACTCATTTTTCTATAAACCCGAAATCCTGGGTTGTACAGTTCCTAGTTCCCTATATACGTGGATTCGTTTTAGTAACCAAACGAGGTTTTGTTCGGCTCAACCGTTTTCCTAGTTTTTAGAGTACGGGTTCTGTATATATCACCTATCCAAACAACGCCTTAATGTGCAGCGCCTAGCGCTCGGGTGCTACACTGTGACTTATTCAGCCGCTTGGCTGGGCCCCCCTCCCCCACTCCCCCACCCCACACACCCCAACCCGTGCTTTGCCCCCTCTCTCACTCTCTCC